TTAATTCAGTTTTTTTCTTAATTCAGTTTTTTTCTTAATTGAGTAAAAAAAATTACAAGTTAGAGGTGCCAATCAATCAGCTGATGAAAGTGTTTACTGTATGACTTTTTTATCACATTTACGTTGTTTTTTACACATTCATAACAGATCAGAAGTAATATCTGGAAAATGTGCAGACATTTCTCTTTCTATTTTAAAAAATGTTTTTTAATAAGATTTAATCTGAAAAAATCAGCAGCTGCAGCTTCTAAGATCTCTGTAATTGTCTGCATTGATGTTGCCACTGTTAAAATGGAAACAAGCTTTTATATGAGTGAGAAAAKTAAACTAACTGCATGCATGACAGCTTATGAGTAATAAATAATTAACTGTTGGTCTGCAAAGAAACAAATTAAAATAAAATTCAAAGTTAACTTTAATAGTAATATTATCTAATGTTAATTTAATATTCTCTGTGTTCATGTCAAATATAAAAAAGGCTACTTTTTTTGCTGACTAATAAAATTTAAAATAGACTAACATTTAGTCTCTCTTTTAGGGACAGAATTTTCCATCATCTCCATGAATTCTTCATCCAATATTCCCAATGTGTCCAGCAGTTCGTTTATTATCGACAGCGCGAGCACAGCTGCAGCCAAAAATGTCATCGTCCTCGCCCTCGGCCTCATCATCAACTACATCAACGGCACACTGATCCTCACCTTCAGCAAACACCAGGTCTGCGTTTACTGACAGTTTCTGAATCAGTGAAAATAACAAATGAAACATCATCAGTGGCCACATGAAATGTATTCAAGGCTTTAAAATTAAGTCTTTTTCTGTTCTCTTTCAGATATTTATCATGAATCCTCGCTACATCCTGTTCATCCACCTGGTTGTGAACGATATGATCCAGCTCACCATGTCGATAACAATGTTTGTCATGTCTTACGTCTTCTTCTACGTCAARGCCTTTCTCTGTAGCATCATTCTCATTTTTGCCATTTTTACAACTTTAAACACTCCAATAAATTTAGCTGTAATGGCTGTYGAGTGCTACATCGCTGTGTGCTTCCCCCTGAGACACGCTGAGCTCTGCACCGTGAAACGGACTTATATTCTGGTCAGCTGTATTTGGGCCGTGAGCTCCGTCGCCGTCATCCCCGAGTTCCTTTTCCTTCTGGCAACACAGCCTCTGTGGTTATTTTACTCCACAACATATTGTGTGGCTCAAACTCTGTACCGAAACCCTGCAAGTTCACTAAAGAGGGACGTAACATACATGATTTGTTTATCTGCAGTTTGGCTCACTCTTATCTTTACTTACTTCAGGATCTTCTTCGCTGCTCGAGCAGCTAATTCAGCGGATGGAAACACAAAGAAAGCCAGGAACACCGTCCTGCTTCACGGCTTTCAGCTCCTGRTGTGTATGCTGACATATTTAGACCCTTTGGTTGTAAGATCCTCACTAGTATTAGTTCCTAAATATTTTCATCATGTAAACTTTGTTTGGTACATTGTTGTTCATATTTTCCCCAGGCTGATCAGCCCCATCCTGTACGGGCTGCGAGACAAAACATTTAAACAGTATTTGACCAAATATCTGCTGTGTACTACCAAYCCAAGCATCAAACCACAATAAAATCACAATATCTGTGTATTTCTGTACTTATCATATATAGATTGTTGGATTTTTGCCACCATCTTAGTATTTTTCAGCACTCTAAAATGGTAATAGTTTATTTAATTTATAAACTGTCGTGTTTTTTATTTTTTAGAAACAAACGTACCTGCTAATCCCAGGGGTCGGATTTATAAAACTGGCGTATGCACAATATGAGCCCAGAGACTTGCGTACGCCACTT